GCAGGCATGGTAGCTCCACACCCTTTGCCCATGCCTTGCCCTATGCATCTCTTCTGTCTGGCTGCTCCTGAGTTATGTCCCTTTATCGTAAAACCGTGATCTAGTAAGTAAAATGTTTCCTGAGTTCTGTGAGCTTCTCTTGCAAATTAATCAGACCCACGGAGGAGGTCAGGGGAATCTTTGATCTATAGCAGGTCAGTTGGAAGCACAGGTGATGACCTGGACTTAGGATTGACATCTGAAGTGGGAGGGCTGAGCCCTTCACCTGTGGAATCTGACGCTACCTCCAGGTAGATAGTGTCAGAATTGAGTTGAATTGTAGGGCACCCAGCTGGTGTCAGAGAATTGCTTGGTGGTGTTGAGGGTCGGAGGGAAGTCCCACACGTTAGAACTGGGTGCAGAATCCTAAGTCCAGATCACAACAGTAGGCCAGAGGAGTTGTATCCCTTACTTTGTTCTGAGCTGGAAAATCCAGTGTAAGTATCCTAGGGATAGAGCATCTCATCTCTAAAGTTAAAGACGATCAGATCTACTCGATGTGGAAGTGGAGCCCATGAGATTCACAGTCACAAGAGAAGCTTCACACAGCCAAGCTGTCCAAACAGACCTTCAAAGGTTCCAACAACGGAATTGAGTCTCAGCTTTTAGAATGGAACAGACGCCCATCAAAATGCAGTCAGATACAGAACTCCCATCCTGTTGATTGCTGACATTCACCGTCATGGGGTCACCGTTTGGACATCTGTTCAATGATGAAGGACACTGAAGTTCCTTGACCCTTTCAGACATGCATCAACTCCCCCATTTGGAAACCATGACTTTGCTAGCTCCATGTGGACCCGATTCCTCCAAGCCCCCATCTTTCCCTCCTTCCCTCCCTTTGGGTAACCTGCTACAAGGACAAGTGTACACCCAGTTGAACCTACCCAGATGCCACCTCCTCTTTCTCTCCTTAGAATCTGACAGTCCAAGCCCCTCCACCCATCCTGGACCACTGTGAATTCACTTCTTCTTCTATTTTTTTGCCAGCTCTTCCTCTTCTTTCTCGCTCTCTGCTCCAGGCTGGTCTCTTGAAGATACTCCCGTGTGCCAAACAATGTCTTCTCTTGAACGCCAGCCCCTCTTTCTACCTGCAGGCTCCCTGATCCCATAGGATAGTCCAGGCCTCTTAAGGCTAAAGTCATCTCAAACTAGCCTCTCTCCTGCCCTCCAAACCCATCACCACCTACCTCCCCAGGTCTTCTTTTTCTTAAATTTTATTTATTTTTGGCTGTGTTGGGCCTTCGTTGCTGCGCGCGGGCTTTCTCTAGTTGCGAGGGCTACTCTTTGTTATGGCGCATGGGCTTCTCATTGCGGTGGCTTCTCTCGTTGTGGAACACGGGCTCTAGGCACACGGGCTTCAGTAGTTGTGGCTCACAGGCTCTAGAGCACAGGCTCAGTAATTGTGGCTCACGGGCTTAGTTGCTCTGTGGCATGTGGGATCTTCCCAGACCAGGGCTCGAACCCGTGTCCCCTGCATCAGCAGGTGGATTCTTAACCACTGTGCCACCAGGGAAGTCTCCCCAGGTCTTCTTGAACCCAAACTTCCCCCCTTCTGCACATGGCGGCCTGATGATTGATCACCTTCCCCAAGAGCCAACACTCAGACCCACCCCTGCCTCCCGGTGACCTTGGTGAGCTACCATCAATGTTGGGAAGGCAGAACTGGGTCTCCTCTCTGTGGTCCAGGGGAGGCATTCTGGATTAGAGGTGTCTGCTGGGTTCTCATTACAGAGCAATACAACCCACCCAACAATATCACCGTGCACTGCAACGAATCACAATGCCTCATCCGGTGGGAGAAGCCCAGGACCCGAAAAACACTGTCCATCAGGGAGTTCCAGTACCAGCTGGACATCCAGAGACAGGTGAGTGGACACTGCTCCAAGCAGGGCACCATGCCTCAAGAACCTTGGCAGCCACCCCCATGACCCACCGTGAGAACCTGGGGCACATGAGGTGGGCTCAGAATGGGTGAACATCTGGGAAAATTCAGGGTCTGCTCCAAGCCCACCTGGACCCAGTGTAGACAAGGAGGAACCCTCTCCCTATGTCCACCTGGACCCAGTGCAGACAAGGAGGAACCTCTGCTCCAAGCCCACCTGAATTCTTATTAGGATCCATATCCAGCTGAGGTTCTAGAAGGAGCCATGAACAGGGGCACCCTCCCTCCTGTGGGCATGTTCCATCCTTCTATGTGGGGGCCACTGCAGGTTAGGGGGGACAGAAGGCACTCAACCCTTTGTTGGGCCTTGACTGTTTCAGTTTTTCCTGACTGCGCTCAAAGGGGGAGATTGGATGAGACCTATGAAAAACCTTCAAAATGGAGAGAAATAAACATTCTATTTTGGTTTGGGTTTTTTTTTTTCCTAGAGTAATACCGGAAGCAGTAGAAATCAACTGGTGAGTTACAACTCTGACCCAAAATATCACCCTTGTAGCTTAAGCGTACAATGTTGGGCAATGGACACATGCCAACTGCAAACTTGGTCCAGCGGTGGACAGGATGGGGGCGGGGTAAAAACCAGAGGATGGAGGTTTCCTAGAGTACCATCCAGTCAGTGATATAAGGGCACCCCCCAGTAGCCCCCTGGATGGGGTCTCCCTCTTCTATCCATGTTGGTCAAGGAAATATTCCTTGGAGTGTCAAGGAGATGATGTCTCCTTCCAAAATTCCTCTCGAGGTTGATCATCAAAGTACTTTTTGTTGATCTTTTCTAAGTTTCACCACCACTCTGACCTCAGTATCCTCCTCTGTCCGATGAGGAAGTCGAACTTGGTCCTCTTAACATCCTTTACAGGGGCATTATCCATCCATGGGTTGGTTCATACCCACTGTAGGTCTTGAATCATTTCTGCATCTATACTTATGATCCTAGCAACCCCAGGAGTGGTTACTCGGAAAATGGCAGAATCACTCATTGTCATTATTCCGTTAAGCATTCCTCCCAAGTTCTCAGGATGTAAAGTACCACATTCATGCCCAGATTGGGAGAGTGTGGCTTTGAATCTTTCACTTCAGTTGGGCAACTGAAAAGACACCCGAACTCTGTTTCTCAACACAGGCAACAACTCTGTCTAACTTTCTGTTTTCTCCAAAGATTGTGGTGTCTGGTGACTCGGGGAATAAATACAGCTTTCCAAGACCGGGGTTCAGAGCCAAACATACTGTGAAGATCAGGACAGCAGATGCCCGGAAAGCCCACTGGGGTGCCTGGAGTCAGCCAGCTGAGTTTGGTACGTGTCCCAAGATCATCACCGGACAGATCCTGGCATCCTGAATTCATCTCTGAGCCATTCTGGGAGGGGTTCCTGTCCACCGGCCCCTCCAACACTGTTCCCCTGGCAACAGCAAGGGCTCCTGAGAGGGACCCTTTAAGGATAACTAAGAGCCTTCCTAAGCCTCCGCCCCACCAGGAAATGACCTATCCCTCCTGGTCACGCCAAACAGCCGTCAGGGTCCACCTCTGGTCAGGATGCAGCTCACATCCAAACTGGCTCTGTTTCTTTGTAATCGGGCGAGGGCTAACCTGACAGATTTTTTTTTTTTTTGCGGCACGCGAGCCTCTCACTGTTTTGGTCTCTCCCCTTGCGGAGCACAGGCTCCGGATGCGCAGGCCCAGCGGCCATGGCTCACGGGCCCAGCGGCTCCGGGGCATGTGGGATCTTCCCGGACCGGGGCACGAACCCACGTCCCCTGCATCGGTAGGCGGACTCTCATCCACTGTGCCACC